CCAGGTAGGTATACTCCTTAGATTTGTGCGGGATCCAGGTAAGGGGAAGGTCCCAGGCTCCACCCCAAGAGGCAGGGAGTGGGGGGAAAGCTGGGGATGACAGACAGAGCCGTGGGGGATCCAGGTAAGGCGAGGGACCCAGACCCCACCCCAAAAGGTAGGATACAGGGGTAAAGCTGGGGATGAAAGACAGAGCTGCAGGAGGCAGGTAAGGGGAGGATGGAACAACTAAGGGAGATAAATTTGTCTGTCAGTTTGTCATACTGTGGTGACTTATGTGCTGCTGTGAGGCTTGAGGCTGTGCCACCCATGTTTCAAACATAAGCAGGGTTACACATGGTGTACAAGTTTCAATGCAGCTTACAGAATGAGACAGACTAGGAAGAAGGAAGAGGCCACCCACTTCTAAAGAATGGTCCAGGGAAAACCTTATAAATGGCAGAGAAACACTATCTGATATATTATTGGGCAACTTTATCAATAGCCCAGAATCACTGTCTGATACAGTGCAGGAAGATGAGCCCCTTAGGTCAGAAGGCTCTCAAAATATGAATGGGAAAGAGCTGCATCATCAGAGTAGAACCAACTTTAATGATATAGATAAAGTAAAGCTTTCGGAACCTCCATTTGCCGACATGGCAGGACTCAAATTGAGGAGAAACATTTGCAAACATCCACTAATTATCGGAACATGGAATGTATGAAGTATGAATCTAGGAAAATTGGAAGTTGTTAAAAATGAAAGGGAGCGCACAAAGATCAATATCCTAGGCATTAGTGAGCTGAAATGGATTGGTTTTGGCCATTTTGAATCAGACAACCATATGATCTACTATGCTGGGAATGACAAATTGAAGAGGAATGGCATGGCATTCATCATCACAAAGGATATTTCACGATCTGTCCTGAAGTACAATGCTGTCAGTGATAGGATAATATCCATACGCCTACAAGGAAGGCCACTTATTACTACTATTATTCAAATTTACACACCAACCACCAAAGCCAAAGATGAAGAAACTGAAGATTTTTATCAACCTCTGCAGTCGGAAATTGGCCAAATGTGCAATCAAGATGTGTTAATTATCATTGGTGACTGGAATGCAAAAGTTGGAAACAAAGAATCACCAGTAGTTAGAAAAATTGGCCTTGGTGACAGAAATAATGCTGGAGATCACATGATAGAATTTTGTAAGACCAACAACTTATTCAATGCAAATACCTTTTTTCAATAACACAAACGGTGGCTATACATGTGGACTTTGCCAGATGGAGTACACAGGAATCAGATTGACTACGTCTGTGGCAAGAGGTGATGGAAAAGCTCAATATCTTAGCACAAACAAGGTCAGGAGCTGATTGTGGAACAGACCATCAACTGCTCACATGCAAGTTCAAGTTGAAGTTGAAGACAAGTAAAACAAGTCCATGAGAGCCAAAATATGACCTTGAATATATCCCTCTTGAATTTTGAGACCATCAAAAGAATAGATTTGATGCACTGAATACCAGTGACTGAAAACCAGAAGAATGTGGGATGACATCAAGAATATCATCCATGAAGTAAATAAGAGGTCATTAAAAATGTGAGAAAAAAAGAAAAGACCAAAATGGATGTCCGAAGAAACTCCAAAACTTGCCCTTGAATGGAGAATAGCTAAAGCAAATGGAAGAAATGACAAGATAAAAGAACTGAACAGATTTCAAAGAGCAGCTCAAGCAGACAGAGCCAATTACTATAATGAAATGTGCAAAGACCTGGAGTTAGAAAACCAAAAGAAAAGAACACGCTTGGCATCTTAAGCTGAAAGAACTGAGGAAAAAATTTAAGCCTCGAGTTGCAATATTGAAAGATTCTATGGGCAAAATATTGAATGATGCAGGAAGCATCAAAAGAAGATGGAAGGAATACACAGTCACTGTACCAAAAAGAACTGGTCAATCTTCATCCATTTCAGGAGATAGCATATGTACAAGAACCAATGGTATGAAGGAAGAGGTTGAAGCTGCACTGAAGGAATTGGCGAAGAACAAGTGAAATGTTTCAACAAATGGATGCTCCACTGGAGGCACTCACTTGGTTATGCCAACAGATTTGGAAGACAGCTACCTGGTCAACTGACTGGAAGAGATTCAAATTTGTACCCATTCCAAAGAAAGGTGATCCCACAGAATGTGGAAATTATTGAACAGTATCATTAGTAGTATATGCAAGTAAAATTTTACTGAAGATAATTCAAAAACGGTTGCAGCAGTATCTTGTCAGAGAACTTCCAGAAATACAAGCTGGATTTAGAAGAGGACATGGAATGAAGGAAATCATTGCTGATGTCAGATGGATCTTGGCTCAAAACAAAGAATACCAGAAAGATGTTTACTTGTGTTTTATTGACTACGCAAAAGCACCTGATTGTGTGAATCATAACAAATTGTGGGTAACATTGAGAATAATAGGAATTCCAGAGCACTTAACTGTACTCATGAGGAACCTGTACATAGACCAGGAGGCTGTTATATGAACAGAACAAGGGGACACTGCATAGTTTAAAATCAAGAAGGGAGTACACCAGGGTTGCATCCTTTCACCATACTTATTCAATTTGTATGTTGTGCAAATAATCTAAGAAGCTGTACTATATGAAGAAGAATGTTCAATCAGGATTGGAGGAAGAATCATTAACAACTTGAAACATGCTGATGACACAACTTTCCTTGCTGGAAGTGAGGATGACTGGAAGCACCTACTGATGAAGAGTGAAGAATATAGTCTGCAGTATGGATTACATCTCAAAATAAAGAAAATAAAAATCCTCACAACTGGACCTATAAGCAACATCACGATAAATGGAGAAAAGATTGAAGCTGTCAAAGAGGTCACATTGCTTGGTTCTACAATTGACGCAAATGGAAGCAGCAGTCTGGACAGCAGATGACATACAGCAATGGGTAAATTGGCTGCAAAGGACCTCTTTCAAGTGCTGAAGAGCAAAGATATCTCCTTGAGGACTAAGGTGCACCTGACACAAGCCATGATATTTTCAATTGCCTCATATGCATGTGAGAGCTGGACAATGAATAAGGAAGACCAAAGAAGAGTTGCTGCTTTTGAGTTGTGGTCCTGGTGAAGAATGCTGCAAGTACCATGGACTGCTAAAAGATCTAACAAATCTGTCCTGGAGGAAGTACAGCCGGAATGCTCCCTGGAAGCAAAAATAGCCAGACTTCGTCTCACCTACTTTGGTCATGTTGTCAGAAGAGACCATTCCCTGGAGAAGGATGTCATGCTTGGTAAGGGAGAGGTTCGACGAAAGAGGGGAAGTCCCTCAATGAGATGGATTGACACAGTGGCTGCGGGGATGGGCTCAAGTATAGCAAGGAATGTGGAGTTGGCATGGTACCAGGCAGTGTTTCGTTCTGCTGTGCACAGGGTCACTATGAGTTGGAAATGACTCTTGGCACCTACAACAACATGACAGAAGCCAATCTGAAGAGGCTACATCTATATGATTCCAGTTACATGATATTCCAGAACAGGTGAAACTACGGAGACGGTAAAAAGACCAGTGGTTGTCACACATTTGGGGCAGATGGCAAAGGGAATGAATAGGTGAGCACAGGGAATTTTCAGGGCAGTGAACTATTCTGTATGATATCGTATAACATTATACATTTGTCAAAACCCACAGAACTGCATAAGGCAAAACATTTGCCGTTTCAGTATCTTTCACATGCACCATCTTAGTGATATTACTTTAATCATGTTGAGCAACAATCACCACTATCCATTTCCAAATTTTCCCTTCACATTTTATAGAAACTCACTGCCCCAGGGAATTATTTCCCCTTCCCACCTCCTTTCCATTCCTGGTAACCACCAATAAACTTTGGTCTCCATATGTTTGCCAATTCTAGTTACTTCATATACATGGGTCATACATTATTTGTCCTGTTGTGACTGACTTATTTCACTCAGCATAATATTTTAATGGTTCATCTATGTTGCAGCATGTATCAGGTCTTCATTTCTCTTTATAGCTGAGTAATATTCCATCGTATGTATGTACCACATTTGTTTATCCATTCATCTGTTGATGGACAGTTTCTATTTTTTGGCTATTGTGAATAGTGCTGCAATAACACTGGCATACAAGTACCTATTTATGTTCTTATTTTCAATTATTTTGTTCTATACCTAGAAGTGGAACTGCTGGGTCACAGGGTGAGTTTGGTTTGATTTTGGTTATGGTAACTCTGTTTAACTTTTTGAGGAGCCACCAAACTGTTTTCCACAGCAGCAGTACCATTTTGCAATTCCACCAGAAATGGGATGAAGGTTCCAATTTTTCTACATCTTTGCCAACACTGTTGTTTCCTGTTTTTTTGCATCATAGCCATCCTAGTGGGAGTGAAATGGCATTTCGTTATGGCTTTGATTTGCATTACTCTGCTAATGACACTGAATATCTTTTCAAGTGCTTGTTGGCCATTTGTGTATCTTCTTTGAGGAAATGTCTATTCAAGTCCTTTGTCTATTTTATGATTGGGTTCTTTTCTCTTTTTGTTTCTAAGTTGTAGGAGTTCTTTATATATTCTGAAAATTAAACCCTTATCCTATACATAGGAGCTCTGGTAGCATAGTGCCTAAGGCAATTGATTGCTAACCAGAGGCTGGCGGTTCAAACCCACCAGCCACTCCTCGGGAGGAAGGTTGGGCAATCTACTTCCGTAGTGATACTGCCTCAGAAACCCAAGGAGGGGTCGCTATGAGTTAGGTCTGACTCGATGGCATATAACAACAACAATAATCCTGTATATGGTTCCTCAAATTATTTTGAAGGATATTTTACAGAGACCTACAACTGATTAATTATGGATAGTTTACAATAATTTAAGAAAATAGAAAGTTTTTTTTTAAATATTTACTTGCCTTATAAGGAATTTGCAAAACAAACTCATAAAAGTTCTTACTAAAAGGGCTTTAACCTTTAAACAAGTCTTACCTTTAGCTCTGCTTGTATGAACCCTTGCACGCACCCAAACAATTTCATCAGCTTTTTGAACTGTCAGGTCTCTAACTCGAACCAAAACTCGATCTGTAGCAAATAAGTATTTACAAAGAAATAATTATTTGACAGTTAAGTATTTATCATCTTAAAAAACAATTCTCAATTCTGTTAACAATGTCTTCTCTATCACCCTCCATATACAATTTGCCTCAAGTTTTATGAAATGTACCATCTAGAGGGTGGGTTGTCTGCCAGGCTTGGAAAATCAAAGTATTTCATTCCCTAAAACACAGTGAGTGACTGATCTCAGGAAGGACATGTTACTCAAACTGAGCTAATCAGAGTTTATATACAGACTCAGGTTGCTAAGCTATATAGGTCCAGGGCTGTAGTCACCATGTTTTCTACCATGAGTGTACAGGAAGGGAGAATTAGGTCAATATTCTAAAGGAAACAGAGTCAAAAAGAGGAGAAAGACAGACTTCCTTGAGCTCACAGATCTAACCACACTAGATGCCATCTCACATTTTGCTTCCTAGTTATGTGAGTCAATTTTGGCTACAAATGAACACCAAGTATTACACCCCCAGTACTCATAACAAAGCACTACAATCCATCAAAACCAAAACCAAACCAGTGCCATCGAGGAAAACAGAACAGAACTACCCCACAGGGTTCTAGGGCTGTAAATCTTTATCAAAGCAGGCCACTCATCTTTCTCCCATAGAGAGCCTGGTGGGTTCAAACCACAGCCCTTCTGGTTAGCAGCTGAATGTTTTAACCATTGGAGCACCAAAGCTCCTACAATCCATCTAGAGTCCCCCAAACAGGAAAACTGTGAGAAAACTACCACCATGTGAAAATAGCAATACAAGGCAAGATCCAGAAATCATTTAATTATTGATGTGAATATTAGAGAAAACTTAAAGTATTAATTAAAAGCACAGTAACAGATATGACATCACATTATCAAGTAATAAAAGATCCCTATTTTCAAAGGTTATGCTGCCTAATTGTAACCAGACCAGTCAGTATCACTATAGCCAGTAAAATTTAGTAACTGCAATACTAAAACCACCTTTTTTTTTTGCAAGGGGGATGGATATTATAATAAAATCAAACTATAAATACATTCTACCTTCTTTGTCTAAGTATATTTAAAATGTCTCTTGAAACATGATACAGCTTAGAGAGAACTTGATTTACAAGACAATACCATGGTTCCCATGGACCATTCCCTGGAGAAGGATGTCATGCTTTGTAAGGTGGACGGTTGAGGAAGGAGGGGAAGGCCCTCAACGAGATAGACTAACACAGTGGCTATGGCGATGGGCTCAATTATAGAAAGGATTGTGGAGCTGCCGCGGGACTGGGCAGTGTTTCGTTCTGCTGTGCATATGTTCGCTATGAGTTGGAAGCAACTCGACAGCACCTAACACACACCATGGTTCCCATTGTGAAAAGCAGAGAATGAAAAAGGAATTTTAAAGCCACTGGACAACATGAGAGGTTTTCTGTAAAATGCTGTCAATGGTCCTTAGGAGTGATTCTGACTTCTAAGTCAGTTGTGGAAACTCAGACAAAACAAAGTGTAAAAGGGAATGCAAAGACAAAGCAGCATATTTTAAAAGGCTGATCGGAAAATTCCAAGGTTGGAAAAGCAAACAATTGACTGAATAGGTAATCAAAACTCAAACAAAACAGAATAGCGTGAATCTAAAGAGTAGAATTGAGTTATAAATGTTATAAAATGTACTGAAGAAAAGAAATAGGGTAATAGCTCTTCTTTCTTGTGGAATTCCAAGTTATTAGCATAGACAGTGTTCTCAACTTTTAACACATCCCAATATACTTGAAGGATAACACGCCCATAAGCAATAGCAAACTAAGGCAAAGATTAGTGGTGATAGGGTTTTATATTGAAAATCTATTTATTGTCTGTCTCACAGTTTTAAGAGTAACTGGCATTTGAATGAAGAAATTTAAAGAAATGGAAGCAGATGGAAAAGGAAACTTTTGAGCAAAGTGTTAGAAGAATTTTAGCAGAAGGAGGCTTGTTAGTGGAAAAGCAGAGCAGTCTATGGATCTGCCAAACAGGAACAGCAGTATGTCAACAGCTGTTTAGGACCCATATAAGAGATCCAAACTCCAGTGAGCTTTGTGTTAGAACTCAGGAAAAGTCCAGTCTAGGAAGACCCCTAAGGTGAAAACAAAGTCTCAAGTGACTTCTGCTTGCCTTTGTAGGGAAATGTTACCCCCTACACTCTACTGGTTATAGCCTATTTTATATACTATTACTTTACTTCATCTCTTTATCTTTTGGGAATGGTTCAACGTCAGCAAATTACTTTGGTCTCTAATTGTACACTTTTCTAACAAAGTTGGGAAGGAAAAGTGATTTTGTGATCATACAGTAAATAAAATTAAAAATGACAGAACGGACCTAAACCAAACCAAAAACTAAACTCACCACCATGAATTTCAACTCATAGCGACCCCCACTGGGCTTCTGAGGCAGTAAACTTTACAGAAGTAGATAGCCCCATCTTCCTTCAGCAGAGCGGCTGTCAGGCTCCAACTGCTGACCTTCTGGTTAGCAGCCAAATGCCTTAGGCACTGTGCCACCAGACCTAACTCACTGTTGTTGAGTAGATCCCGAATCATAGCGACTCCTCCTTGGGTTTCTGAGGCAGTATCTCTATGGAAGTAGATTGACCAGTCTTCCTCCTGAGGAGTGGCTGGTGGGTTTGAACTGCCAGCCTTCTAGTTAGCAGTCAAGTGCTTTAGGCACTACGCCACCAGAGCTCCCCCACCAGACCTAGATACGTATTATTTCCAAAGCATAAAATTCACAGGAAGGCCTCTAAACTGGAAGAACTTAATACTTGGTACTTCCAACTGGCCAGTAGTATTTAAAGGTCTGTATGGTACCAAAGATTGAAAGATATAATTTGAGGTACCTACCAAAGGAAAAGAGATTGTTAAATAGCTGAGTAAGAGAAATCTATTGATATTAAAATACAGAATAGAAATAAATGTATACTGATAAAACCTATTAAGTCTAGAAGAAAAAATTAATATGACAAAATAATTTCAAAGAAATATTAGAAAGTTAAAAATGTTATTAACAAAAAAGGGAGCAGTAATAAGAAAAGATGGACTGAGAACTAAGAATAATTAGTTTAATTTCCAGTCACTTAGGCTAACAGTAAATTATACAGGAGGAACTTTAAAACTCAAATTACCGTCACTGCCCAAAGAGCCAGAGAAGATTGAAAGATCATGCAGTGGGTCACCTGAGTGAGCCAAGTTACGGATCATTTCTCAACCTTGGTTCCATGCAGTTTTCAAAGGTGTTGTTTGAATTCAATGAGAACATGAATTGTTGAAAGAGCCTAGGATTATTTGCAGGGTTATGGCATCTACTTGAGTTCTATTCAGTGACAGAATCCTTGCCTTCCATGTGGGAGACTTGGGTTCAATTCCTGGCCAATGAATGTCATTCATGCCACCAACCATCTGCCTGAAGAAGCTAGCATGCTGCTATGATGCTGAATAGGTTTCAGCAGAACTTTCAGACTAAGAAGGCCTGGTGATCTACTTCTGAAAATCAGCCAAGGAAATCCCTATGGATCACAACAGTCTGATGTGCAACTGCTCATGGGGATGGCACAGGACCAGGGAGTGTTCTGCTCTGTTGTGCGTGGGGTCGTCACAACAAGCAGTGTAGGAGTTTTTTTTTTAAAAAAGGTCATAGAAGCAAAGTTAAGGGGGAAAAGTCAAGAAAAAAAGAGAGTAGCTTCATTTAAGTACACAAAAAGGATGCAAATGATGAAGGCGTTAGGTATTATCAACCACTCTTCCTTTAGCTCCAGACCAGAGTTAAATCTCTTGCTTACCTAATCACTCAAGGAATATTCTTTGTATAATTTACCATCTAAAATATACTATTTAATCTACAATATTCACTTAACATATTTTCTTCCTTTTCTAGCTTAGGGGCTCTAAACTGTCAATGGGAGCTCTGGTAGCATAGTGCCTAGGCACTTGACTGCTAACCAGAAGGCTGGTGGTTCAAACCCACCAGCCACTCCTTGGAAGGAAGGTTGGGCAATCTACTTCCATAGAGATACTGCCTTGCATATCCAAGGAGGGGTTGCTGTGAGTCGGGGCCAACGCAATGGCACGTAACAACAACAACAAACCGACAATGTTTAAGCGAAATTTAATTCTACACAGGGTTATGGCATCTACTTGTGGTGTAAGTGTGATTTAAGCTTTTCAGAGTTAGTCCCCTAGAACCAATCCTACTTAAAACTTCATGAAGAGCTTTCCTGGAATCAAAAAAAGCAAACAAACAAACAAAAGGTTTTATTAATACAACATAGCTACTAACCTGGTTTTTCTTGTGATTGTATCATTGAAGATACTCCATATCTTTCTTTAGCATAATCCTACAAAAAAATGTTTCTGCATTATGATTTTCTATTTAAAGACCAAAAGCATGGCACACAAATAACAGAATATAAAAATGAATCCATTTAACATTTCAGAATCATTTTATTAGAGAGTCAGTAGTTTTAGAGTGTGGAAATCTGTCACACATCATTTACATATGTACTCTATTGAAAAAGAGAAAGTGCTCACATTTTATAGTTAGTTAGTTTGCTTTGAAGATCAATACCCCTGGATGGATATACCATACATAATAGCACTCTCAGATAAAATTACACACATGTACAACATATTTTAACTACATTCTCTAACAGGGAGATTAAACTACTTCAAAGCAGGAATATAAATTTCCTCTTGAAGGGATAGGATGAAGTACCACAGTTTTATTAACTTCCTATTACAGGAAGAGATGTTCAAAGAGAACCAATGTTTTGGGTAAGCTTTCTGAACACCAGATGGTCCACAGTTTATAGAAACTGGAGATCCTGGATGTAAGCTAGCTACAACTTTCCTTTTGTAAAACATCATCAATAAATTTGCCAGTTTCCTATTCCTTAAAACCAACATTAACTATCAGGTTACAAATTGTTTCACATTGATAACACAATATCAAAATTTTTGTTACAGATATAAAGTTAAGAACCAGAAATAGAGACTTAGGATCTAGACTATTATTAGTCAACAATACTTTTAAATAAACAAGTGGCTGTTATTTTAATCTTAGTTACTTTACCTCTAAAATGACCTCTTAAGATCCTTATAGCTGTAAAATGGATGTAACACAGCCACAATGTACACATTACATCTGCAAGGGTGCAATGTTAATTTAAATGATCACATTAAGAATGCACTAATTTTCTTATACTTTATAATTTAGTGTCTGCATAAAAACAATTAGCTTGTCACTCTATAGCAACCTGTTGGAATTATCTCCTTTAGATCTGAAGGATATTGGATTTTGTGTTTATACCAAAACAGAAGAACCATATTATGGTACTGACTGAACAATTTTTTTTGTGTGAATATAAAAAATATACACCTTAAGAACAAAGATACCTGGGCCCCTGTAGAGTTATACAAAGTATGCGGGTAGCATACATAGGTTAAAGTGTGTGAAAAGATAAAAAAAAGTATTACCCATTTTTCTAATGAATATTGTTTATATTTCAGTAAACCTTATTCCATTTCATTTTCTGAGCTAATCTATTTCTTGTGCAGCTTTGCACAAATCAGGATTCCTCAACAGAACAATCAGGAGCTGGCCAGAGATTCAAGTTCAATATTCCTACAGCACACACAATTTGCTGGGTGATTCAAACATTCATTTCTGACAAGTACCACGCTAAAGGACCACTAGGTGTTATGATTTACCACGTGAATAAGGGTCATTTCATCTCAAAAGCATTCTCTGCAACCTTCCCTATCGACCTCACTGGGTCACTGAGCAGGAGAAAAGAATAACATAAACAACAAGTGTTCTTTAAAGCTGTCCTATTGAAAACGATCATTAAACAAATCGGCAGATTGTTTGCTAAGTACAGTTTTTACTTGCTAACCAGAAAGCTGGTGGTTCAAATCCACCAACCACTCCTAGAAAGGAAGGTTGGGCAATCTACTGCCGTAATGACACCGCCTCGGAAACCCAAGGAGGCGTCGCTATGAGTCGGATCCGACTCCACGGCTGCGAGTTTGATTTTTGGTTTTGGTTTTTACTTGCAAAACCATTAGCACCTAAGCCTGAGTAAATATCAATTATCAGGGGGTATTTAAATTTTTCCCGGGGAAAGTATATTACGTGAAAGATGTGCCTAACACATGGAGAAGTAAGTGTGACCCGCCGCTCCTACTTCCGGGTCGATTTGTGCTTCACGCACACCCCACCCCAGGGACATGCTTCTTGTGTGGGAAAAGACTTCCAGGCCCAGGAATCCTAAAGAGATATGCAGTCCAGAGAGAGCTTGGTCAAGCTGCTCGCTCAAGGGCCCTTAAAGTCCCGATGGCAACTTCTGGGGCCCGGACACCAGGCCCGCAGCCTGCAGACAAAGTACTGACAGGGCCTCCGAGGACAGGGCCCCGCTCACCCTACTCCCTCCCTCAGCGCGGTCTGGTCTTGGGGTCTGCCTTCCCAGGCCCAGAGAAGGAGGAAACCCACTTCCGCGGCGTCCATGATGTCCCGCGGCTTCTCCTGACCCTTGCGGCTGGCGGTGGCGCTGGCGCTGGGCATCGGGACAATGGGACTAGGAAGCAGCAGGGGCAGCGATCACCACCCTCTCACGCAGGGTTCCATATACCAAGCCAAAGGCCCTTCTCCCTCCCGTACAGTCTCCTCCCTCCAGGGACACGCGCTCAGACTCCGCGTGTAAGAACGGCTCCCGAACGATCGCGATATTTGCAGATACCTCGAGATCCCGTAGCTCTGTAATTGGGCAGCCAGCCAAGCGTCGCGGACTCTTCCAGGTCTAGTCACGCCTCTACGCTAGTCTACCCCAAATTGAAGGGCGTCCCAGGGAATTCGTTATTTTCCTGCAGGATTGGCACTGAGGGGCGGGGTCTGAAAGTAACAGGTGGCGCACTCCGGAGCGCTCCTGGCGGTGGGTATAAGCTCCATCACTCTTCACTTAGACACCTGCGGCGTTTGCTGTGCCCTGCTTCCTGCTCTAACACCCTCTTTCGGCTTTGACCGCAGTCTATTCGGTAAAACACCTACCCAGGCCCTGTCTTCGCTCTCCCAGGATCGGTGCCGCAGCCTGAGGTCACAGGAGGACTCTTCGAAAGTCCTTAGCACACAAGAGTGCTAGGTTTTAGGTATTTCAGTTGGTATGGAGGAATAGGGCACTGGCATCCAAGTGATAGGAGTCCTGGTGGTGCAATGGTTAGGGACGCTCTGCTAACTAAAAGGTCTAACCCACCCTATGGCTATCTGAGCCTGTAAAGATAGTCTAGAAAACTGTTAGAGACAGTTCTCTGAGTCTGAATGGACTTCGTGGCACACAACAAATGAAGCGTGAACAGTAGCAAAAAACTTAACACATTTGTACCGATTGCCTAGACCTTTTGTGCTGTTAGAAGCAGTTAATGGCCTTGGTTGTTTAAAGGATGAATCTGCCGAAGTTAGTTGTTTTTTTTTTTTTCAAAGTCTTGTCATTCATAAGCCCTTTCTAGCAATTGAAAGTAATTTAAAGGTGTGGTGACATGTAGTTTTCTCTGCTATACTTTATGCTCTGTCAGAGTTTCACTGTCTTAGTCGTAGATAGGCACAAGTGGGCACAAGCAGTTGTTAAAACAGTGCTACTGGACCCCAGTGCAAATCAAAGACCTCTGGAGGCTCCCTCATTCGGATCCTGGGGTACAGTAGTGAGAAAATGGCCATGATCCCTACCCTGTGGAGCTTACCATCTAATTGCAAGTGTGGTAAATGCTATGAAGGGTAGCTGCTTAGTATCTGGTGCTAAGAAGGTATTTCTTTGGGCACATTTACTTCAAGCCTTGTGAGATCTGGAGTGCAATCTGGGCTAAAGATAAAGATGGGTGAAACACCTGCAAGTAGGTGGTTATGGAAGCCTGGTCAGTGATGAACTTGCTTAGTGTGAGAGGATAGGGTAAGCCCCAGATGAGGCTTCCAGGAGTGCCAACACTTAGACGTCAACTACAGGAGGGAAGAGAATGAACTTGCAAAGGCGGCAGACAGGAAGCAGCTAGAGAGGTAAGAGGAAAACTGAGTGTGTGTCACAAGCCACAGAAGAGAATGTTCCAAGAAAAGAGTGTCTTTGTTGTCAATTACTCCCTAGACTTAAAGTAAGATGATAATTGAAACATGTCTATTGGATTTAGGGACAGAGAGATCAATGGACTTGGCAAACACTGTTTATACTAAAGTGATGGAATCAGAATGGGCTGAGAAATGAGTGAAAGTGATGAAATGATAGTAGTAAGATAACTGCAAACACTTACACTTGGCCGAGCAGTGTTGTCAGAGCTTTACGTAGTATTAACTCATTTAATTTTCACAGCCACACTGAGGGAGATAATGTTACAATTTTCATTTTACATAAGGGAAATTGAGACATAGAGAGTTTAAGTAACTGTCTGTGGACTCGGAGCCATTAAATGATGTATTTCTGTTCAGAGGGTATGGTGCCAGAATTCATATTCTTAGTTACTATACTTTTATTCAGTATTGTCCGTTTCAGTATGTGGGACAAGGATCACAGGGAGCTAGCACCTGTGGCTTGTTCTTCTTTTCATTGTCTATGTAAGCGATAAACTCTAAACCTGAAAGTGGCGTATTGTGTCTTTACTGATCAAAGCAATAAGGTCTTGACCTTGGCATTCCCTGTCTTGTGTGTGATTGACAAGAATCAATGTGGGGTTCTGCCAACTATCAAATACGTCCTTTCCAAATTATACATTTAAGGGTCAGCAAAATGACTTATGGATTTGTCCACGGACCCACTAAACTCATTCTAGGTTGGAACACATTTCCCTTTAGAATTAAAAACAAAAAAAACAAACCCAAACTCGCTGCCATCAAGTTGGTCCCACCTCATAGCGACCCCACCTTGAATTTCTGAGGTGGTATCTTTACGGAAGTAGGTTACCCCGTCTTCCTTCCAAGAAGTGGCTGATGGGTTTGAACCACCAGCCTTCTAGTTCCAAAAAACCAAACTCATTGCCATCGAGTCGGATCCAACTCATAGCGGCCCCTCTTTCGGTTTCTGAGGTGATATCACTACGGAGGTAGATTGCCCAACCTTCCTTCCGAGGAGTAACTGGTGGATTTGAACCTCCTGCTGGTTAGCAGTTAAATTTCTTTCTGCCAGTGTTGTTGTTAAGAAGTTTGAAGTATCATTGTGATTCCTGATCCTTTTTATGTGACTTTTTTCCCCCTGGAAAAAAGAAGCTTACAGGATCTCTCTCTGTTGTTGTTGTTGTTATTTGCTGTCGAGTCAGACCCGACTCATAGTGACCCGTCCTTGGGTTTAGGAGGCAGTATCACTATGGAAGTAGATTGCCCAACCTTCCTTCCGAGGAGTGGCTGGTGGGTTTGAACCACCAGCCTTCTGGTTAGCAATCAAGTGCCTTAGACACTATGCCGTCAGAGAAAAGGAGGGGAAGAAATCATCAAAGAAATTTTTCATGAAAATGCCCCGCACTAAATAATATGAGTGTCCAGGTTGAAAGGGCCTGCTAAGTGTTAAGCACAATGAAGAATTCAGATTCACAGGAAGGCACACATTGTAAAATTTCATTGTATTAGAGGGGCATTTTCATGAAAAATTTCTTTGATGATTTCTTCCCCTCCTTTTCTCTTTGCTTTCTTTCTTGAACTTTTATTATTAAAATACTAGCCTTTCTGAGCTGGTCTTCTAATGTTTTATCATTTCTTTCCATTTTTCCCTCTCCATGAGTTTTTACTCTGTTTTGGGAGAGTCCCTTGACTTTATCTTCTGATCTTTCAATTGAGTTTTCATAATTTCATCATGTTTATAATTTCTGAGCATATTCTTTTGTTCTCTGAATGGTCCTTTAAAAAAAGTAGAATCCTAATCTTTTTTTAAAAAAAACATATATGCAGTATCTTCCTTATCTCTTTGTATTAATGAAGTGATTAATTTTTTTTTTTAGGTATTCTCTTTACATACTCTTATTTCCTGTAAGTTGCTTTTTTCCCCTATTTGTTTTAATCTCCATCTACCATGTTCAAGACCTACCTCAGCTGTCTTACTGTCTACTTATATTAAAAATTGGTGTTAAAAAGCTGCTAGAAGGTCAGCTTCTTTCTGGGAATACCAGAAAGATGTTTACTTGTGTTTTATTGACTATGCAAAGGCATTTGATTGTGTGGATCATGACAAATTATGGACAACATTGA